AGGAAGATAATGCTCTTCCTCACCCTGTCAAGAGCTTCTTTTGGCAGGAGCATGCCTTCTATTTTTATGTAGGGGTTCTAGGGTTGGAAAAGATGTTAGAGCCATGCGGTTGCCATGTCCATGGGGATGTCTTTTCCATTGTTGGAGAGACACATCCTAAAGGTCAGAGCCAGATAGAGTAGGCAGGACAACTGGTCAGAGAGGCCCTGGCAGAGGTGGGACCTATCCTTACCACCAAGAGTGGAATCTGACTAAAGATGCTCTTCGCCCTACGAGCAAGACATTGCTGCTATGCAGATTTTTGAGCAAACAAGGCCTTCTGGACACCTGAGTCTCCCTGCATGGAAGGCCGCACACCAGTGGCCATGGAGTCACAGGAGGAGAGACCAGGAAATGCTGCATTTCCTTTTCCCTTTTCTTTCCTCGTTGCTGCCCTTTCTCCTTCTTCTTCTTTCCTTTTCTTCCGATGTCCCTCCTGTTTAAATGGTAGAAGGCAGTCTATAGATTACCAGAGAACTAGCATAGATCTGATTTCTGGGCATAAGGAGATCTCAGGGAAATATCATGAGCTACCTTCTGGAAGGGTGTTCAGCTTCTCCCCACCCCCTTGCTCACTTCTCTTATTTTAAAATTAGGAAAAACAAAACAAGCATATCCAGAGAAGCTATGAATGTCAGAAAGAGACCACATTGTCTGTCTGTTCCTCTCTCTCCTCACTGCTCCTACCCTCCAAGCCCCAGAATACTTGCAGTGACTTCTTTCCTGATGTGTGAACTCGGAGACCTCAGGGGTTTTGACTGATTTACTCATTAATGTATTCCCCGTGCTTACCATTGTGCCTAAATATTTGTTGAATGGTTGAAATAGCGAAATTTACTACCCACAAAATGAAGATCAAGAATTGGTAAACACAGAGCCATTATTATATGCATAACATAAACAGCACCAACATTATTTCACAAGTTTTTTTTTTTAAGCATCTGTAAATGTTCGAGTAGAAGAGGATTTCCTAAAGTGTATTCAATAAAATATTAGCTTTGAAGAATAAACACAGATTTGTTTCGCAAAAAAGGTGGGGAAACTTAGGGAAAACTTGTCTACAATACCTTAAATTATACAGAGTTCAAAGAAATCTTTGGGACTTTTCAGTTTCTCAAGTACAAATTTGTACTGTGAATTTCCCAGAGAATGACACAAGCATGCCACATTTCCCAAAATCATCTGCCCATGTTACCCTTCTGCCTGACATAGCTAGTGGAAACAGTGTTCCATAAAACACGTTTTGGGAAAAATTAACATCTCAATTCAACTTTATTTCCTCTTATTTTATATCTTTTGTATTTAAGTTATATATTTTTTTGTTCTCAACTGGGAAACACATCCCCAAGTTAACATTACTAAACTGCTCACTTCAAAATAATGAAGCTGGTAAATTTTATGTTATGTGGGTTTTTTTAACCACAATTTTAAAATACCTTCAAAATATTACTTTATTATTAAGTAAGATAAATCAATGTTTTACCTAATGACCACAACAATACATGCAGAATTAACAGTATTGTCAAATAAAGGGCTGGATTTTCAGTCTACAATGTCACTGAATTGCAGTCACCACTTACATACTGTATCCTCAGTAAGTATCTGATTCTGGACATAGGGCTCTGGATCTCTCGGTGCAAATTTGGAGTAATATGGTTGGGGATGTCTATTCATAACTACCATGACTGTGTAAATCAAGTTTTTGGTAGTTTAGTAGAGTGAGCCTGGGACTAGAGGCAAAAGACCCAGTTACGAAACTGACACTGTCACTGACTCAGTGCGCAATCTTGGATGTACCCTGCTTTTATTATCTATTAGATGGCCTCGTTCAGTAATTTTTGGTCTTTTCCCTCCCAGCATGGGATTCTCATAGGTAAACACATGGACTTTTCATGTACATAGCAAAAAGCATCAGAGATGCTCTGGTCTCGGTGGGGGCAAGAGGGTATCCGGCCTCTCACCCTCTACAGTCCTCAGTGTTTGCTAGGAGCCTAAGAGCTCAGGGAAACCAGTGTGAAATCCACGAGCCCTCACAATCTTTAGGGTTTCCAAGTTTTACTCTTGCTTCGAAGAGTAAGACTGAAATAGAAAAGAACATTCATGTCTATCTTAAAGCCTGAGAACCCCTGTAATTTTATAGATGCACACAGCAGTCCGCTATTAAAGAACATAGAACACTATCACATAACACATGGCGAGCACCTTTTGAATTTCAATGTATATTTTAGATCAAAATACAAAATAAAAGATATCACCAGAATATAATCTTTCCTCAGGTTTTAGGATACATTTCAACAGAAAAACTTGATGGCAAGTTAAAATTGAATGTAAATATTATCTCTGAAAAGTTGACTATTTATATAGTTTCCTAAGACCCTCTTAGTTTTTAATGGGCAAGATTTTGCTAAAGACAAAAAGTGTTAATTACATAAATATGCGTATTCTTTTCAAAGCACTACATGATATTATGGTTAATAAACAATAGAGAAATGAATACAAAACTATTTCAACGGAAACATTGCTTCTTGAATAGCCTTTGCAATTATGACATGTTTACTGGGAAAATCCATTACTCATGACAGGGTTACAAAAGCAATATTAACCTTTTTGAAATTTAATAGCAAAGTCAGACATGTAAAAATCAGTAACAGACATGGTAATGGAACTACTTCTGTTAGGACTGTATATATGATAAAACAGGTATTTAAAGCTGCATTAAAATGTGAGTAAATTAAGGATCTCTTGGAAGATTCACAACGCACGTGCATTACTACCAAAATCATGATGCAGACTGTTCTAAAGATAGCAATCTTGGAAGAAAAAAATCTTGTGCTTTCTTTTGCTTCTCTTACTTTGGACACTGCTGCTTTTTGCAATTTTGCTTAGGGTGTCAGGCATTAAATTTGCCCTTAAGTATCCATACAGCTATCTTTTGGGGGGATAGCTATTTGTTACATTGACAAGTTAACAAATGCTTTCACTGTATTTGATATGTGACTAATGAGTCCTTTAAATCTAAGAGGATGTTTACTTATGCAAAAAGTTATCCAAAAATAGCATTGATAATAAGCCAAAACTCCCACAAAGTGGTTAGAAATGAATGATAAAATACACACCATAAAATTGCACTCGTCATCAAATGCAAGTTTGACTTACAAAATAATTTTTTGTGAAATTTATTTTATTACTATTGTTTTATTACAAGACCCAATACTTGTCTAATAATGTAGTGTTGATATTTAAAAGGGATTCATGTTTTTAAATGTTTCATTGTTTCAATTACCCTAAAATATGTCATTAAAATCTCTTGTGGGGCTTTTCTTATTTTAGAGAATGCTAGCTTAAGGCTTATTAAAAAAATAAAGGTCAAAAGTCAGAAAGGATAATAGCTGATGGCTTTGATAATGCTAATTATATATTACTGAGAATAAAGGTAGAAAGGGAAATATGAATACCAAAGAAAGATAAACATCCCAATGCTGGATTTTAAAAACTACTGAAAAAACCCTTAAAATGTCTTTGTACTTCACTGTCATAATCCAAAGACATAATGAAGCCTGAATTAAAAATGTCAGTTTCTGTGAGTGTTGATAACTTGGTTCTTTGTTGGGTAAGTCAAAATGTGTCTGTTTGATAGGCAAAAATGACAGAGTAAAAATGGGAGAAGTTGGATCTAAAAAAGGAAACACACACACACACACACACACACACGCACACACACACCCGTGACTTTAAAAAAAGACCCATAATGTACTTGGAGGAGAAGACCTGTAGGGTAGGAGGCAATATCTTTAGGAAGTCACCAAGCAGCACTAAAAGGCAATGTCCATGGCCAATCAAAACGATTTCTGTGACTGCTGGGGCTCTTGCATCTCTGTCTTTACACTAGACTGGAAACCCTTTGTACTAATTACCAGACTGTACCAGATTTTCTGGTTCAGTTCAATCCTATAATTGACTGACAGTGATGGGCAAGGAAGGGGAAAAATTCAGGCTCACCATTGCAAGCAGAGGGTCAGAAATGGCTTCTCAGAGAGTTAGTCACAGCCTGGCACTAAAAGCAGGGTTAAGCAAGCATCAGCAGCAGGTTCTTCTGATTCCCAGGTTAAAAAGCAAGATAAGAGGAAAAAAAAAACCACAACAATCCATGGCTGCTCGCGTCTTACACACCAATTCCTAGCATGCAACTGTCTCACATAAAGTGAATGGAGAATAGCTTCAAGTGTAATTGGTAATTTTAGATGTCATTGATTTTTATTCTACCGCTGAAAAGCAGATATAGGTTTGTTTCCAAAAGTCAAAAAGGGTTGTCTTGCTAAACATAAACAGACTTTTGTTTCATTTGTAGAAACTAGGAAAAAATGATGCTGCTACCTCATTCCTAGGGCTCAAAAAAACATTACATTGTAAGGCACACTTAACCTATGATATGTTACATAATCGAAGTTAAGCAATCGAAAGCACTTAACATCAAAATTCCTGCTTGCAATTCACTGATTTGGACTTAATGTGTATTCCTAGCAGCTAATAAAATTGCTGTTCATGAATCCATATTTTTAAAAATAAAAGTTTGAATAATAATTTACATGAACTCAGACTTAATGCATTAAAAAAAATACACAGAGCACTGTATCAAAGGCTTAGTCGGCTGATCACCATTTGTTATTTACTTTGAACTGTTCTCCACCCACTGTATTTCTAACCAAAAGAGCGACCCCAGCTTCAGCTACACCAAACATTAAAATCGCCAGAACCAGGGTCAAATCGAGAACTCAGGCCATTCGGTCGGCAAGTGAGAATTATGTACTATCATGTTGAGGTCAATTGACTTGAAATTTAATCACAGGTTAAGCCCCTTTTCTTTCCAGGCTAAAGAGTAAGCAACACCTGTGCCAGCAGCAGCTCGCATTGCTGTTGACATAGCAGCCAGTTCAATTTTTAGTTACAAGTCAATTACTTACTGGGATAGAAAGAGAACATTTCATTCATTCCATGGATGGCCACTTTTCCGGAGAAACCTGCCAGGCTTTCTTTCTCCAAAAGAAGAAAAGAGAGAAAAAAGTGAAAGTTAAAAATAAGTGAGACGCTGCGAAGTTTGAGAGCTAGGCCAGCACACGAGAGCAGACAAGTTGTGCAGATAGCTTACCTTCCACATACTGAACAGAGCTGTCTCGAAAGTGGGGCCTGTCCCAGCTGATAAGTCCTGGGACTTTCCTCATCAGAGTATCAAAATTAGTGAAATTAGGCTAAGGATCTACACCTGAGAAGAGGGACCAGCTGACCGTATGAAAGGAGAGAGCAAATGAGTAAAATGTCTTCTCCCAGCTACAGTCAGCCCTTGTGCAAGGGGAGTTTCAGATGCACTGGCTATAGACTTTTGTCCAAAGCTCTGGTTCTTTTTTTTTTCTTTTCTTTTTTTTCTTCTTTCTTTTCTTTTCTTTCTTTCTTTCTATTTTTTTTTTTTTTAGTGAAGCTAGATTAGTTCATACAAAACTCAACAATACAGCACTGAAACCCATTGTTGATATTCAACATTTTTCACATAGCGGAACAGAATAGACAATACGGTATCTAGGAAACCATGGGCTGGATTACAAACTGATGATATCTCATCCTTCTGGGGGCCTGTAATCCTTTTTATTACCTACCACAGTAAAAAAAAAAAAATCACAGTGTGTGGGGGGAACTCTCTCAGAATAAATCACTGACATTGTCATTCTTAGGAAAATAGGATAAATTAAAATGAAACCTTGCTTATAGCACCAAGTCCCAAAGTGCCATTTGCCTTGATGCAAGTTCATGATTTTTAAATTTATTCTTATCTTAACCTTTATGTGAGCTTTTATAGGTTTTTAACAGTTCCTTTTTTAAAAAAATAGATGTTTGCTTATAAACATATATTCAAAATTATTCAAAATTAACTTGGACTTTCTTATTCCTTGTGATAAATACTGGGAAAGTTATTAGTTGCAAGGTACCCATGAACAAAGTTGTGAATACAAAGTAATTTTTATTAATCTGTTACAAGATACATATGTTGGGTTATTAGTAAGCTGTATTTGTTCCTACATTAAGAATGCAATGAAATCCAAGATTTTGGGGGCTTACTTAACTGCTATCTGGTTTAATAAATATCTTTTACTTTTTAACTCCCATGTCTTTAAGTTTTTCATTTTTTAAATGCATTTTCTAGTTATGCATAATTGCAAAGCCATTCTTCACAAAGAACTTATGCCTATTAACCTTTGTGAAAATCTGCTCCAATTCCTTCTTAGAATACAATCCAGTTGCCATACTTTTCTTATGCCTCCAAATGGTCTAGGTAGCCACAGAAGTGATTGTTCCTACCAGCTTCTTTTCATCACTTCTGCAATTGACCAATTGACAACTGATTGATGGTTATCTTTTCACTTCAACAATGAAAGAAATTACCATCACTATAGCTATGTACAGTAAATGCCTCCAGAGTAAATTACATGATTCTAAAATTCTCCTTAGCTCACTTAGTAAAACATCAACACAAAAAAGTTTCTTTTTGCGCCTCCTTTCCTGTACCACAGATTTGGCCTTTCCTGTCAGCTGCAAAAAAAGAACTTGACAGCTTCTTTAAAAAGAGGAGTATAAAGGAACTTGAATAAAGGATGGCACTGGGCCTGTCTCAAGCAAGTAGCCATTCTTTGCACTTGGAAAAAAATTAGGCATGTGAGCACAGATAAGCCCTGTAAGAATACTCTAAAGACTGTTCTCAGTGACCTTGAGATTCTCTTTCCTTCCTTAACTGTTCCTGAACATTAGAGCAACAACATAGATTCTGAACGTGGAGTTGCCAACTTATTTTGAGTAGGTGCTCTTGCTAGTTGAAAACATCCTTAAATTATTTAACTTCCATACTACTACAGGTTCCCCTGCTCCTTCCAAAAGTGCTTACATAAATGCTATTATGCACGTGTCACACTCATCCTCTATGACACATTGATGAACAGGGACTTTAAACCCTACTCTTGAATCTAAACCTACTGTAAATGTGTTTTAATGTTACGGAAAAGCCCTGGATCTTGTCAAGGAAAGATAGCCAAATGCTACTTCTATCCTTGTGCATTTAAAGCCACTTTTTTTTTTTCTGGTGAGGAAAATATACTGTTTTGAAAAATTGGATTGATTTACTCTTAACCTCCCATCCTCTCTTTAAGGCCAATTTTCTAAACTGAAAAAATGAATAGATGATCAAATAGATAGAAAACATGATTTCTCATCATTTCCCTTGATATTTTAGAACAAAAAAATTCTGTTGACTACCAAAAGATAAACTTTAGTTTTTATTCACATATTCAAATAGATATTTCTCAAATAACCCAGATGTCATTCATGGAATTTCACATTTATATATTTACAGTTCATCTTGAAAGATAGACTTGTCTAGACCTACCACTGTCCACATCTGTATTAATGAAATTGCTTTCAAGGTGCCCTTGTCTGCCATCTTTACCCACAACATCACTGTTGGAATAACCTTCCCCTAGCTCTGCTTTATCATGTTACATGGATCTTGGTTCTAGAACCTAGACTGCCTCTCTATTCTGCTTAGTGAGTAAAGTCTAACCTTCCCTCCGTAGCTTTCAGGGCTCTGCGAAATAAAGTTCCATGATGGCACCTTTCCAGACGTATTTCCCATCAGTCACCTTGCTACTTACCAATAGTAAGTGTGTCCTACTATTACTTGTGTGCCTAGACACACTCCGTGACATCGCACCTTTCATCATACCCAGGATCAGAGTGTTCAGCACCCAGTTAAAACACGGCCCACTGATGAATCTTTCTCCTCAGCACTGGTTCGTGTAGTTTGCTCTATTACCTAATATTTTCATCATTTATTATGAACTTTGATGCACATTTGGCACAGTTTCAATGTCACATCCTTTATCAAGATTTTCTTACTAATTTTAGTAAAATCAATCTCTTTTTCCATTATGTTTGCCAGTCCTTTATTATGATCTATATTATCTCAATTATATCTGCATATCATTTTGTCCAGATGGAAGTTAAGCTCCATGAGGAAAGGACCTGAATTATAATGTATCTTTATTTTTATTGATACAAATATATAGATTGAAAGATTTATTTATTTAAAGGCCGAGTTACCTAGAGAGATGGAGAGACAGAGGGAACGAGAGGTCTTCCATCTTCTGGTTCACTCCCCAAGTGGCCACAATGGCCAGGGCTGGGCCAGACCGAAGCCAGCAGCCAGGAGCGTCATCTAGGTCACTACATGGGTGCACTTGCACCATCTTCTGTCGCTTTACCAGGCTCATTAACAGGGAGTTGGATCAGAAGTAGAGAACCCAGAGGTCAAATCGGTGCCCATATGGGATGCTGGTGCTACAGCTGGTGGCTTAACCCATAATGCCATAGCACCGGCCTCATAATGTATGTTTGTGTATCTAACTATTGGCACACTTGTAGACATTCAGCAAATGGTTATTCAATAAAAATGGAGTCCTTACTCCTGAGGACTCTCATTTCAGGCAGGAAGTTCATTTGATTTGTGAGACGGCTGAATTGCTAAACAAAAATGGTTGGCAACTGGAGAGATCAGCAACTCCTTTTAAAAAAGGAAACTGAATTTTTTGAGTATTTAAATGGTTCCATAATGAAGCCTATCTGAAACCTAGGTATTTGGAACATGAAACTTTCCCATACAAACATAGTTACATTTTTAGGCTAGTCTGAAAAAAAAATGCCTATTTGGTCCATAACCCAGCCAAGCTCTGGTAATATGCTCATTTATTGAACACTTGGTAATTCAAAAACACTGTAATAATTCCTTTACATAAATTATTTCACTGGATTCTCAAGATAAGCATACAAAGTAGGTATTATCATTGCGATGGGACACTTGGGCCTAGAAAGGCTAACTGAGTTGCTGGAGGCTGTTTATCTATCAGCAAAGGCCGGGACTGGGATTGGGGCTCTACAACTCCTATACTTAGATTACTCAAAACTGGTGCCGTATTAATCCTCAGTTCATGTGAGGAGCTCATACATAATAGATGTGGGGGAGGAGATGAAGAAGAAAGGGAGCTGCCCATCTGTTTCTTCATCACAAACAGTCCAGGGTATCATAGGTAAACCACAGTCTCTGTGGCTTCTGATTTCTCTGTCTTCACACTGATCCTATGGACTCCGATGCCCTCCTTCCCATTCAGGTTACCAGTGCCTCGTTTACTTCTCTGTGGCCCTCTACTTCGACCTCCAACGTTCTTTATACTCCTCTCCCTGACCATTCCAAATACCATTATTTTAGGACATGTGGGAGCATAAAACCAACCTGGTTGCAGGAATTCTTGCTAACATGTGGGTGATGAGTACAGGTTTGATTCGCTTCTCATTTATACACTTCAAAAAATGCTTATTAACCTGAGTGAATTTTCAAATGTTCAGGCCTTGAAGCTACATAAAACAAACCAGTTGTTTCCCATAGATGCCTCAATGTGTGAACAGAAGAAATTTTGAAATATGGTGGTATGTGTGAAATCTAAAGAACTGTGTGGACAGGCTGTGTTTGCCTGGGAATCAGACCCTAGTGATTCTTGGGTTGGGAGTCACGGGAGACTATGTTGAAGGCAATGGGCTCCCTCCCTGGTTGCACACACCTTTATGCATATTATTTCATGCAATTCATGAACCTTTGAGGTGACCATGGGATAAAGCCCTTCCAAAAGCTGCTGATTTGTGGGGAGTATTTCTTTCCCTCTATCTCTAAACATAGAGCTCTTAACCATGATTTCTTGTTAGGTGAGGAACCAACCACCACACATCCTCATATACTGATTAAATAGGTCTGTAACAGATTCTGAGTAGTGGAAATTAAAAACAACACAGATTCTAGTGATTCTGATGTGGATCTAAGTTTAAGGACCATTTTCTAAACCACTGGTCCTCAAAGTATTGTCCCTGAATCAGCAGCATCAGCGCTAATGGAAGCTCATCATAATATAGATTCCTGGACCCACCCCAGCCTCACCAAATCAGAAACCTCAGGGTTTGTCCCGAAATCTGAGTTTTTAACAAACTCTTCAGGTAAATTCTAATGCTCGCTCGGGTTTGAGAAATGCTGGTCTAAGTTGTTGGTGACTTTCAGAACCGTGAGTAGCAACTTGTAACTTAACCCAGTAGGCCACAGCAATGGCCTCTGCCCTAACTTTTTAAGATCAGTTTTACTTCTTAAATATTGTATTTTATTTTCTTATTCACATGCCAAAATTTAATCTTCCATTATCTATCACACAAACCTCCTGTCAAATCTCTTGTGTTGTAATATATCCCATCTTTCATCCATCCTTCATTTCATGACACCTGAAAACATTCTATGGTGTAGATCTGTTTATGCCCCTTACTTTTCATTACTATCTATGTCTTATAGCTCTGGTTTGCATATCATGTTCTGAGGAACCCAGGCTTCTCAGAGGTATTTTAAGGACTTCAAAATCAAATTATAAATCTGATCACGAAAATACATTTACACCATTGATC